GTGTGCTAGCCGAAAAGCTGGGATCATGAGGGAGGGTTCGGGCTTCAGTTGAGGAGTGGAGAATCGACTAAGGAATTGAGTTAAGGGTTTGTAACCTAGCCGTCAGAGCCGAGGACAAGATGGTCTAATCTCACCCAGCATACAGAACCTCGAGGAGTGCTGCAAAATCAGAGGCTTTCACGCCTTCCATTTTAATTGGGTGCTCAGGAGAGGTGCCTTCTTCTGGTTTTCCGTCTGCGACTTTGGGTACGTTAAACATGTCCGAGAAGACTTCCGACTTGAGTAATTGGTACTTGTGAACGTTGAAGAGAATGTTTTCGATCTGGATCGAGGCCCAATGTTTGTTGGAGGTCCTGACGGGAGAGATCTACTTACTTGAATTGCAACGAGAGTATCGTCAAAGAAAAAGTCAGAATGTCTCTCAACGGTTTGAGAGGATCCGATATTCGATCCTGTGCGTTGATTCGTCGAGACCGATGAGAAAACCGTTCGAGAGGGTAGTAACTTACTATTAGAATCACTATTGGGTGTTTGAATGGAAGACGTAGAGGGGTTATTGTTCATCGTTGATCTGGCGGCGAGGGGGGAGTGAGGGTGGGAGGACCCGAACTGATAGCCACATCAATTTTAAATAGCCACCAGACAAACTGGTGGATATCGCTATGATCACAACGAATAATCAGTCACGTGCGTATGTTGACGAGGATAGACCCATATGTGGATGTGGGGTCCTCCCTCGTACAGAGATAGAGGCTTACTCAGATTTTTCTGCCCGCTTCGGGGTTACGCCCGCGTGTGGGATTATTCTCACTGTGGGTGCGGCAACATCCAAAGGGATGAATACAGTAGCAGCTATGCGTAGCCGAACTTTCGCACCGACTCTCTTGACAGGATAGAGCAGGATATCCAGATGAACCGGAGATGTTAACGGCATAAGAACTCCCTGGATAGATGCTGCCGTGTACTCACTGCATTTCACATCCAAGCCCCATTACTGTCCGGAGAAATAAGGGTACTGGTAAGAGAGAGTAAAGTACAGTTCGAGAAGGGCCAGGAAACGAATTCAGCCGATGATATTTGCCGACAATACTCCATTAAAGTGTTTGCCGCCTGGATTTATAATTGGACTTATCAGGACGCTTTAGTACGCATAGTTCGTGTGCGATCGACGGGGTTAATATAGGTAATAGTGCTTTTGGGGCTATTTGGTAGGGGGAAAGCAGATGAATTGTAGAGCGTGTTTTATTTTGGTCTTTGGGCATGACGGTCGGTGGTCGTTCAATCGAGACAAAATTGATCGACGACAGGGAAATTTGAAATGTCCTTGTTGTCGCCCACCACAAGAAAGGATCAACCGGCATCTCGTGCACCATCCCGAGACCACAGGTTTTAAACTGCGATTCATCCATGCCCCTCCACACGCATGAGACTTTGGTCTTGCTACTATTCTTTCGTCGTATCCAGTCCATTAGGAAGTCGACATCTCGTGTTCTCCTTCAAGTAGACTCGTATCTAGTCCAAATTGCGAACCTCTTTATTATGGTCAAGGGGAAACGGCTCAAAACTAGTGTCAAAACTTTGACTAAAAGCGACGAAGGGCTTCAAATCTTGCCGGCGGCGTCTCATGCGGCTGAAGCTAACTCGTCAACTCTGGAACATGCCTCCCGACCCCCTCAAATCCCCGCTCTAGTAAATACTCCGGTCAATTTGACTAGTCTGCTGGAATCCTCGTCACGAGCTCGGATTCGGTTCAAGGATACGTTGCATACGCTCAATTAAGGCATCCGGCGAGTTAGGTCCTGTGAAGGTTATGATCGAAGGGATAGTCGATTGCGTCCGTATATCCGAGGTACGAACGTACTTTCTTGGTGTTATTACTTTGCGCAGGCCTCACTGGTTTATCCGCAGGACACGGCGCAGGGAGGGAAAGGATCAGACGAGCGACCAGAGTACTTTTTCAAGTCGACATCCACAGCAACCACGGAAAGCATAGCAAATATCCGCGGGTAAGTTCAACCCGATTGAATGAGTTTGCGTCTAATACCTTGAACCAGCACCCTGGGTTAACGCAGAATGAGCGATATTACAGGAAGGACGGCAAACGAAATTATCAGCAAGGCAACTTGCAGCGGAAGATAACTCGGATAATGCACCGGTATACTACCATCGGGTGCAAGGGCATTTACAATGGTTGTTGGTGAAATACTGGCGTATGGGCAAGTGATATTTGCTCACGCTTATGATAGTACTTTGCGAATATCTAAACTAGGATCATAGTTAATCAACTCGCGACAGTGCGCCACCCAATATCAAGGCCCTTAGCCTTTCCGATACGTACCTTCGCAGGGACCCAAGTGCACATATGCGAGGTGTTTTGTATTCTATCAGAGTTCTCCACTCACTCTATGATATTAGACTAACAAATACATTAATAGTTTGATTTTCTACCCTCCACAGCGTGCCACGTACACTATCGCCGACCCCATCGCGACTTGGCGTGGGCACATTTACTTTTGAGGACCGGACTTTTTGAATGAGGTAGAACTTGATTGGAATGTTGAATGGGAACCCAATGGCCGAACCAAAGTGGGAAGTAGGCTTTCCATATTTGGTTCCAGATTTCTGCGTTCACAATCAGTTACGTGGCAAGGGCTTTTTTTTTAAAAAAAAAAAAAAAAAAACACATTTATAAAGCGCTACATGAACACTAGGTCAAACCGCGCGTATCGAGAACCTGGGCAGCGGGTACAGTAGTAGTAGATACAGTGGGTGAGGGGTACGAAAGCAGCAGGTATGCGTGAGAACAGTAGTCGTGCAAGAGCAGGAGCCATGTAAGACAACAAGACGAACCGCACGTAAGGTGCATTGGCCGGGAGAGAGGAAGAAGGACCAACGAAACATGCCAGAGCCGGAGCCCTATTTTGTGAAGGCACGAGATTTTACGAGGAAGCCTATGAGTGCCTTAATGCCTTTCTTCTCATGGAAAAGGTCCGCAAGAGATAGGAAGAGCGATGCCTTGCGGAGGCATATGCGAGCCTCTGCGTGAAGTGGGCAGTCGCAGAGGATGTGAGAGGCTGACTGACACGTGGCAAGGGCATGTAGCGCAGTTGGTAGCGCGCTCGCTTAGCAAGCCACTATCTGGATGGTTGCGAGAGGTCCTCGATTCGAATTCGGGCTTGTCCACATTATTTTGCTTTTCAACCCAGCGGAGGATTTTTTATAGGTACCTCCACATGCTTCACTTGATTTAAGTCAGTTTTCAGTCCTAGTACCATTGCTGAATTGCAGCTGGGGTCTCCGATGACCAGTTCTCGAGTCTTTCGAGTTCGGCAGCATGAAATACACATTATCTCCCCTCCATTAACACATGCCCGACACCCGATCGTTGGAGGGTCCCCAAGGCCACTTCAATTACATATA